TTGGTACAAATTGCTAGAACGGTTAGCGAGATACATATATGTGATCACAAGTGGGCGGTGCTACGCCCATTTTCCAAAATTTTGTCATAAACGTATTTCTTGGTAAAGAATTGTTGCAATCATCAATTTTGAAAAAATTAGCTTCAATATTTACTGATTTATCGAAGATTTTGTATTTTTCGAAATTACCGTTATATGGGATGTGGGCGTGGTTATTGTCCGATTTTAGAAATTTACGGCCATTTGGTATGCTGTACCAGGACCAACAACTGTGCCAAGTTTGGAAGAAATTGGTGTAGCGGTTACCAAGATATACACATGTAACCATAAGTGGGCGCGGCTACGCCCATTTTCCAAAAATTTATAAAATTCATGTTTTCCGTCTGAAACTCATTGTAAGTATCAATTGTGAGGGAATTATCTTCAGTAGTTACTAAAATATCGCAGCTTTCGTATTTCTTAAAATTACCGTTATATGGGAGGTAGTTGTTATTGTCCGATTTCGCCCATTTTCAATACCATCCGTCCTACGCCCAAAAGAAGTTCACGTACCAAGTTTCGTTAAGATATCTCAATTTTTACTCGAGTTATCGTGTGCACAAACGGACGGACGGACAGACAGTCACCGCTTAATCGATTTCTCTTTTCATTCTGATCATTTATGTATAAATTTGTCTATATCTATCTCGATTCGTTTTGCCTGTTACAAACAACCGTTATGTGAACAAAGTTATAATACCTACCCTTGTGCACAAGTGCGCTCGGGTATAAAACTAAATTTTTATGCCGTGCTTTGGTCACTTCGCCGTTGCGACTGTTGGAGCAGCGCGAGCAAAATATTTTACAAGCGCTTTCTGTCAAAAAAGCTTTTCACCATGAAAATTGGTAAGGCAGCCTTTTTAGTAAGACTTTCATGTCATACAAATACTCTCGACTATCGTAGGTAGAATTGCCTTGCTTGTAAATATGGGAAATATAATGTTGCTTTACGTGGAATTGACTCCCCTGCCATGAGGCAATTATTCATTTGTAAATTTGTGATATTTGATCGATGTGACATCAAGTAAAGTGATGGTATGTGACTGAAATGATATTATGAAAGAAAAAGCTGTCAAGCAGGTTATTCAATTCACTTTTGAGTGAATTTCAATCAAATACGCTTTGTATTCAAATTGGTAGGGGTTGAAATTCACTCGGAAGTGAATTGCAGAAGCTGCCTGTATGTGACTGATGTCGCGTCATGTAATATAACATCACGAGCTTGACAGAGCAGCTTGTAGACGAAAGTTATGTGACATCATAGAAGTGAGTATTAAAATATTGTATGTATTTATATAAGTGACATCATTTCAAACGGAATTATGTTATTGAAACGAGATAATGCAGGCTGCTATCATATGATTGATATGTTATGTGAAGTCATCGAATAACGTTTTATGTGACAAAACTTTTATGTCGAAAGTTGTATCAATTGGAGCGATATGATAAACATTTGTCATCTGAGGGTCAATATAATTTAAATTCATGTGTTGTCACCAGACTGTCACACTCGACTCACCAAAAGCCAATCGCTCCAAGATAAAGCCCATATTTTCAGTTTTAGCCAATTCAGTAGTTTGTTCATAAGTGTAGACGCGGTAATTCCTCAACAAATCTTCAACAAATGGCTAGAAGAAAATTCAATTATAACTGTAGTCTATTTAAATATTTGTTGCTATACAAATTGAACCCACATCAGTATTTCCTTCTCCTCTGAGTGAGATTACCCAATCAGGTGATGTTGCAGTCCATGGAATACCATGACTATGTAGACGCTCTACTGAGTCAGCTGCTTCCTCCAAGCTATTCAAGAATATTTATGCGGTGGAGAAATAGCATTTCAATAGCAAAACACTTACGTTGGCAGCGTTAGTATTGCCGATAGTCCGCCACCATAGACACTCGTCACAATCGTATCTATCGTGTAGCATGCAAAGAGCACCATGCGTACCGTATGCGAATTGACTACATAGTCCGAGCCCTGTGACACAAAAAGTTTCAGCGTAGTAATATAACCGAATTGAAAACTCTCCAGTAAACTATATTTAGGCTCATCATCCGAAGGAGCCATATAGCGTGTAAAAAAGAGTGCCAATGCCTCAAGGAACAAGCAAGCAATCACGCCTAGCCAAAGGGTCAATTGAAATGGCCGAAATGGTAGTAACCAGCTGGTGAGACGATGCGGTGATGGTACTAGGCATGTCACACCGGAGCGTCCAATAAAGTGAGACATATCCAGGTAACGATAGTCATCAGGCCTTCGGGAAATGCGAGAGAGTGGTGAGAAAAACTGCACATTATTTATTGTTATTAAGCTTACCAAAAATACAAAGCTCCAACGGCAAAATCTGATCTTCTCTCTGTGATCAGACCAAATATACCATCACCAGTTAGATTTGCATATGATGTGCCCCATTCTCCTCTCTCAGCTGAAATACATTTTTATTTAGTTAAATTTTTAATCTGTTCTTAATTGTTTGCACATATAGGTACATATTAATGCAAATACTTACACGATTCCACTTGAAATGTGCAGTTTATAACCTTGCAGAGTGCGAATAGCATTCTTACTTCGGTACCGTCCAAATGTGCGGTACCTCGTGCATTGCTGGGGCTTGTATCTTTTACTTGAGGCTCACGTTCCTAGAAAAAAAAGAAGCCAGTGACGGATTTAAGTCAAAAGCAGGTAGTTAATGCAACTCGTAACTATGTATCTATATATGTATATGTATATGTAAATATGAATGAACTCACAAAATAATTCGGAATTTTGTGCAACTCAGAAATTTCTGACAAACTTGGAGTTATATTCAGAACAACTTCTGCACTTTCGAAGAAGTTACGAAGCCACTCAGTAACTTTGGAAAAATCCGATATTTGCGGTTTGATTCTAAATTTTCAGAACATGTAGCTCACGCAGCAGCTCTGAGTTTTTTCGGGGTGATTCAGAAGTTTCGGAGTTTTGCGAATTTTTACGGACTAACAAATTTTGGTTTATTTCGTAGTTTTTCGGGAGTGATTTAAACTACTTCGGAGTTATTCTATCTTTTTCGGAGAGACAGAGATTTCAAAATTAAATAAAACATACTTGAAATATTTAGACGTGATGATGATACAAATTGCGACAAGCCCACATCCACCTACTCACCAAAAGCCAAACCCATCAGAACAACGTCCTTTTGCAGCTTAAGCAATTTAAAATAGTTATTCATGTGCGTAGACCTTATAGTTTTCCAATAATTTTTCAACAAATGGCTAGAAAACAATAGATTCTAAATATAAATATTCTATTAAAATTCTTATTTCGGTGACGTCGAAGTGTGCGGAGTCGCTTGGGATACAAGTGTATTATTATCTCTTAATCTCTTACTTGATTTTCGCGATCCTTTCAGGTTTATAAATTTGAAAAATTTCATGGAAAGAAAAGGAGGAAATTAGGATGAAAGAAATACAAGCCGAATACGTTATTATACCCGAGCGCACTTGTGCACAAGGGTATATTAATTTTGTTCACATAACGGTTGTTTGTAACAGCCAAAACGAATCGAGATAGATATAGTCAAATGTATACATAAATGATCAGGATGAAAAAAGAAATCGATTAAGC